CCCCCACCGACCCTAAAAAAAATATTTAAATCGTTTGGTTCAGTTTTATAAAAGTTATTTTTTTCGTTTTAAAAGGTGTCCCCATATATTTGTCCACAACCGTGCTTCATCTGATACTTATTGCAGTAAACAAAACTGCATAAAACCGCGAAGATACAATTACATAAAATTATTTTTTTCTTCTGTTGCAGTATCTGTTACATATTAGATGAGACTGATCCTGAAGGCGACATGTATCCATTGTTCGAGATACAATTACATCTAGAGGTACATGTATAGTCCTCACACGGCAAGAAGGCACCTTTGTGTTTATATTTCTTGTTGATCTTCGTCACCGTTTTTGGCCAATAGCGACCGATAGCTGCGGCAGTGGGGTAGCTAGTAATAAGGGGAATGTAAACACAAAGGTGCCTATATTTTATGGATCTTCTATTATTAGTATTTCCAATTATAATGTGAACGTTTAAATATTTTAATTGAACATTTAATTCTTTTCTGAACGAATCTGAAAGAATCCTAGCATCAACTTCCGACCTCGAATTGAAATTGAAGATCCTGATGGATTCTACGCCTTTTTCGAGAGTCTGCTACTTGATATGATGAAAATGGGCATATTTATCCCTCGTATCAATCCTGAAATTGCAGAAGAACAAGAAAATTATGCGGTATGCTATTTTAACCCTTAACCGATGTAACAATTTTTATAAAAATAACTGATATACTAGGCTCGTTATAGACCTTAAATGCAAAATACAAGAAATATGTTAATGTAATTTTACACAAATGGTCCATTGATATTTTATTATTAGCTGGTATATAAAATAATAAAAACATGGAAAATTAAACTTTTATTATAAAATGGAATAGAAATGAGATGTTGAGATCACTCGTGACTTCATTGTTTTAGTTATAGACTAATTTTTAATCCTTATTAACTTCAGTATCAAGGGAACACAAAGGAATTGTTGTCAAATTTCACATTAAATCTACGAACCACTAAAATTAATTATTTTCAATTACATTATGAAAATATCTATTTAGACTTTTAGTAATTTTTACCATACTTTAATTATTTAGAAAAATTAATTTATAATATAAGTCAGAATAAATAGATTTCCGTAAGATTAGATATATTCATTAAGTAATTGTGTCATTTACTCGACTGTGCGACTTTCGTTGAAAATTTCATAGAAATTAGATTACATCTAAGAGGTTGTATTATAATTTTAGTTGTTTAACATTTTTAATTAATCATTGCCTTCGCAGACAGATGTGGCAGATGAATTTGGAATCGGTTTCATGTTAGAGGAAACTTGCAATAGAGTAAAAATGGCTTTAGCAGATCTTAAGGATCACGTTCAGGTAAAATAAATTGGTGCACAATTTTTGCAGAAAGAAAAGTAATTTATAATCTATTTTTTTTAATAAAAATGACGATCCAGAGACCACAAGTATTATAATCAACCGAGTGCAAAGTTGTTTCTATTGAATTATATACAATTAATATTATATTGTGAGAAAGTCTAGAATATTATTAAGATAATAAATCATGAGAATTACATGAACTAGATCAATTTTATTGGTCGTTTTATAATTTATTTTGTACATTAAGCACCTGAGCCAAAATTTACAATAACTAGACAGCGGATCTTTGTGCAAAATAAAAATTGTTTATTTCGATTACGATAAGTAGAAGGCAAATAAAAATATATTTCCTCTGTTAATAAATTTAGTAAGTTGCAAATAATATGACAGTGTTTTTAAAATCATCAACTGTTTTCATTATCGCATGTTCCATGTGCTGATTTTTCTCATAAGTAAATAAAATCCGCTGTCTAATAATAATTAAACCACCAGATCTCTGATACTTTAAGTACAAAATTGGTATTGGACATTGTTATCGAACGACGCTTAAAAATTACAAAATGTTCTAACAATATAAAACGATTTGTTAATTATTTCCAGATATATGACGCGTTCTCTTGGCTGTGGTCGGACGACAGACAGGAGTATTTAGATTACTTCCTCCAGTACAGCCAGTTTGTATCAATCGAGGACAGAGAAATGATCGCAGAACGTTCGGATTACATTCCGGAATATCTGAAACCAAAAAAACCGGACTTGGCGGATTTCAAGCTCGAAATTGATTATTTCATGGATTTATATCAAAAATGCGATGAAATTCCGAACGAGTATATCGCTTGTCAGTGGTTGAGATTGGACGTGAAACCGTTCAAGCAAGCTCTCTTGAATACCGTTTGCAAGTGGGCCAACGTGTTGAAAGACTACTTGGTCAATCGCATCACTACCCAGTATGTTATTATTATAATTGTTATTCTGAATTTTTAGACTCGCAAATTATGCTTCATTTTGTTTTGTATCTGTAACAATTCCAATCGTAATCGAATGAAATGACAATATTAAATAATAAATAATATTCTAAATATATTTAAATAATATTTAATAATAATAATAATATCTAATAATATTTTATAATACTCAATAATATTTTTATATAATATAATATTTTATATATAATATACTATTTAATAATAATATCTAATAATATTTTTATATTAATAAGTATAATAATAGTAAAATGTCTAAAAGAAACTAAGAATGTGGACGGAATAATTTTAACTTACTAAAATTATGTAACAAAGAAAAAAAATTGCACTTGGCTCCTATGTCATGCAATCGACGCAGACATTTCTTATTTCGCATAAAGATCCGCAGTTTAACAATGATATTTAGCCTTTTGTATTTCAGGATAGCATGAAACATTTTACACGAAAAATCTTATGTCACATGCTGACCTTTAGCCGCAAGTAAAACCGATTTCACTCAAACTGCTATCGGATCAAACGTCGTTGGCATTGTTTCTATACAGAATTGCGCAATGAAATAGGCGAGCAGGGATGTCTAATCACGAATAGTTATGCCGGCAACGTATCAAACTATGTTACGTATTTTGCAAACAATACGATTAGTTTGGTCACGATTCGCTGGAACTCTCTACGCGATCAACTTTTCAAAGTATCTGTACGGTCGTATTCAAATGGAGTAATACGAATTTCCGCATCGCGATTCCGGTGTAGAAAGTTTTCGAACGATATTATCATAATCGAGGATTAAATTTTGATCAAATGAACACGGAGTGATCATGTGTTCACTCAGAGATGAACAAATGACAACAGAGTTCTGAGAAATAATCCGTTGAAGAACACCATATAAATATTATTTGCTGTACCGTTCTTGCATTGCATAATACGAGGGCGATTAAAAAAGTTAGCGATCTATCCTATAAATAACAACAACAACGTTTTAAACATTTATTTATAGCTTTATGTTTGAAAATCTAAATTCGATTAATGAGTTGCACTCTCCAAGAGATCTTTTTATTGTATTTTCCAACAAAAGTGGTACGGCACATGAATGTTAAAAATTCGCTTTTCACATACAATAAGTGAAGTAATATGATATTACTGAAACGCTAAACAATGAATTCAAGAGACTGTTGCGAGAAAAAACGTAAAAGCTAATATATAAGGTGTCCCAAAATTATGATACCTCCGGGAAATGAGAGATTCCTTAGGTCCTTTGAAATCACTTTTTCCTTAACAAAAAAAATGCAATCCGCGCCTTTATTTTCGAATTATTCACTAAAAACAGTTACCAATGAGAGACGAGATCAGTTGGCGCGAGGAAGCCGAGCCAATGAGCGAAACAAGCAACTTTAATCAGTTGCAATTAGTATGCTAATTCTTCTAAGGTCTCTATGTTCTTGTACTTTTTAAAAATTGATCTACACATTTTCGTTATTAATGTTTAAAATTCGCCATCTAATAATTACCTTAGTAATCTCATCCGATTGTGTCAGATTGCAAGAATTGTCCGAGTTTCTGCATGCGGCAATGGAGAATTTCTCGCAATCGATTCAAGAAGATGATTACGAAGCACTTTTAGTGACTATCTCTTATTTGAAAGAAATCAGAGATCGGCAATTTGAGATAGAGGACATGTTTGATCCTATCAAGGTAACGCGATGATGATAAAATAACTGTCATACGATTAGATTGATATTTAGTTTCTGTTCAATTGCACTGGATTTAATGTTGTAATTAAAGGGTTTTTGCGAGGGAATCATAATTAATCTTATCCAAGTTCCATCAAAATAACAGGTTTCGGATGTCCACCACACAAACATGTTTTGTATGAAACGATTCTAATGGTTTTTCATTGTATTGGAATAATTGTAAAATATGAGCATTTTTTCTCACATAACATTAGAATATTATCATATTAGAATATTGAATCAACAATCTTACAAAATGAATGTATGTTAGTTATGTAAGTAATGTCGATGTTAGTTATTATTTTGTCTCTAATTTGTTGATTCTTATTCTAGAAAACGATAGAACTCCTGGAACAATATCAAGTGGTTATAAGTCCGAAAATTTTCGAGTGGCTGACAGAGCTACCCCATTCCTGGGAGACGTTGAAGAAAGTATCTGCTCAAGTGAAACAGATTGTGCAGCCTTTGATGACCCGTCAAATTGAACTTCTGAAAAAGAGACTGAGTTACTACGATTTCAAGCAACAACGTTTCCTCGACGAATTTCACAAAAATCCTGTCTTCGAGTAAATTTACATTATCAATAACTATATAATACTAACAGTACTCCATTAAATAATACAAATACTATCCCAATCAATAATACGAACAGTATTCCATTAAATAATACTGACAATATTCTATGAAATAATTGTAACAGTATTCTATTAAATAATTCTAAAAGTAATCCTTTAAAGTAATACTAATAGTATTCCGATTCTATAGTATACCAATAATATTAAATAATAATACTTAATACTAATAGTATTAAATAATAATACTTAATACTAATAGTATTAAATAATAATATTTAGTACTAATAGTATTAAATAATAATATTTAGTACTAATAGTGTTAAATAATAATATTTACACTACGGTTTGAATTTATATTTATTATTTAAATTATTCACACTTACTTAAAACCGTACGAAGATATCTCCAGAAAAAAAAGAATTAATCATCTAACAAAATATTTTAATTGTTGCTAGTCCCGAGTGTGCCGACCCTTACGAGAAATTGAACAAAATTCGCGAAGGAGTCGTGACATTCTTGGGTGAAGAGAAGAATCTGAAAGATCAGACGGTAATATTTGAACAAGAAATGCCCGAATTTAAGGTGAACAAGCAAGTACAGAAGGAAATGCAACTTTTGAAGACTTTATGGGACTACGTGCATGTAATTAGTACTAGCTTAAACGAATGGAAGAAAACTACGTGGAAAAAACTGGATATCGAGTGGATGGATCAAGAGTGCAAGAAGCTTCTCAGGGAATTAAGACGTGAGAATATTTTCAATTTTTATTTCATATATTAATATATATTAATGCTGGTAATTTTATACATCAAGTTACTTAGGTATTTGAAAAATACCAACTGTTATAATTGTAATCCTCGCACGACGAGAAAGCACCTTTATGTTTACATTCCTTTGTGTTTACAAAAATTGGAAATTGATAAGCAAACGATTACTTCAAACAGTTAGGTATTGTATCTCAAAGTTGGAACATCGATGATTCATTTCCTATACTCATTTTTACATTAAAATGCTATAAGAGAAGCTAATGTATTCATGATTATTATTTCGTTTACTATGTTCGAATGACTTACTTATGGTGTTGTAGATTTGGTGCCATAAAGTGCAAATATACACTAGTACGTATTAAATGTAAAGTGTAACTCGTAATTAACTTATAACAATATTTTCATATTATATCCTAATTTCATTATTGTATAATACAATACATATTGTATACATATTGTATAATACATTTTTCTACAGAATTGGACAAAGATGTGCGCGGATGGAAACTATACACAGATATCGAAGCTCAAGTGCGGAACATGATGGCCTCGCTAAGAGCAGTGTCGGAATTACAAAACCCAGCTATCAGAGACAGGCATTGGAGAGAATTAATGGCTGAAACAAAGGTAATTAATTGCATAATTAATCGAAGTTTTATCATGTCGGTGAAAATGCCAGAATTTGTGATTATTCCGACTCAACTAATCAAGAACCTGGCTCACTGACTTCAAAAATTCTCATTCTGTCTTTAGTATATTTAAATACAAATATTATACCATACTCTTACTAAACCGGCCACAAAAATTTGTGTGCATACACTGTATCCAACATTGCCGTGTTCTTGGGAAGATGATCTAAAACACTTGCAATTTATTTTAATATTAGGAAAGATTACTTTGTTCGAAGATCCACCAAAGTGAAACCACTATTAATTAATTATTTTGTCTCTCCAATCAATAATTTACTATTTTTCAACTTTGACGTTAACACTATTTTCACCAGAGGGCCAAAGCAAACCTTCTGACATATTTTAATTTAATGCTATTTTTATCAAATGGATGAAAAGACACTTTTAAAAATATTAACTTGATATTATAGTTATCAATGGGGTCAGAAAACATAATTTCAATTATTTTAATTTATCACTATTTTAACCAAAAGTGTCC